TTTCCACTTAAACCTAAAACCGGAAAGCAAATTTTAATGTTTTTTTAAAGGACCTAATACATAGAAGAATATATAAAAAGTACGTTTCAGGCTTTTTATGAACTGATTAAACGGTTAACAGCTGGTAGAAAGAGCATCTATATAAACAAAATCACCCCAAGATACAATTTTAAATAAGCCTAAAAAAGACCTTCCGCAGATAGCAAACTGTGATGTTTTTTAATGTAAGTAAGAACTATCTTTTTAAAAAAAAGGATTGATAGAAAGAGCATCAATATAAACGAAATCACCCCTTTTGGTACAATTTTAAATAACCTAATTTAGGATCATTAATGCAAAAAATGCAAAAATTTAGGAAAAGTAGAAAGGTTGTCAAAATAATTTGTCAGGAAGGAGACCTGTCATATGGCGTTTCGTTGGTTCAGCAGAACCGGGCCGAATTTCGTTATTGAAATTATCATTTAACAAGTATTTTGTATTGTTTTTTCAGCTTGAGAAGAATTCGTCAATCCAGAAGAACTTCTAGTCGAAATAGAAATTAAAACATTATAAAAGACACAAAGAGAAAGTCACATTTTCCGCCGAAGTTTCCCAGTATTCTTTTCCATGGCGAGTGCCATACAAATAAAATGACTTTCGAAAACTACAATCTTATCTCGCCCTAAGTTTTAAGAATAATCGCAATTCGTATTGAATTTGTACAACGCCAGTAGTCCTTTTTGAGATAAGATTGTACTTCAAGTCCAGTTACTGGTGGGGATGCAAAGGGTCAAAGTAGATAAGCGACCTGGGGGGAAAAGCCCTTCAGATAAAGTTTTAAATCTAAAAATATTTGGAGAAATAGGACCTTTAAAGCCTTTCGTTACAACTTGAAATTGTGCCCTAGTCCACAGGCATTTTATTACCCACCCTGGTTACCAACATTTAAAACTCAGCAGTTTTATGCAACTTATGCCTTTTCAGACACATGCCTTGTTTATTAAAACCATTCTTTTTCCTTGCCTCTTCAAATGAATTCTGCAATTTCTTTCACTTCTAACATAGCAAGGAGTGTGAGGAAAACCTCTTACAATCTGCTTATAAACGCTCATCCTATCTTTCAAACAACTCCCTGATAGTATGAATTCTTATCTGGATTCGAATTTTTGCATCCAATCTCTGCAGCAATTTTGATACAAGTGGCCTTTTGCACCCCAAGATTATTAAATTTGGTCTTATAATTCAGAATCATCTTCAAGCTGATGTTTAACTTCTCTCTAATGCCTGCTTCACTATTTGACTTTTTTTTATCCTTTGTTCAGATAGAATTGACCTCAATTGCTTGACTTCAACTTGAAAGGGGTCCATGGACTATGACAATTTGGTTTTGAAATATTTTGACTAAATGCAATTTTTTTCTCAACCCCCACTCTTTTTGTACTAAGGTTGGAATATATTATGTGGAAGTATATCTATACATGTTCAGGACCATATTAATTATTTAAATTAATTATTCTTTTTTCTAAGGTCTTGGTTGAAATGAAAAAGTTAGTGTCACGAGTGGGATTCAAACCCACGACCTTTGGCTCAATGCACCACCGCTACAACTTTTAAAGCTGCTCTAACTCTCTTAACTCTTTTTCATCTCAACCAAGACCATAGGTAAAAAGAATAATTGATTGAATTTGTGATTAAGAGGTATCAGTTAAACCACAACATTTCAACAATCTCAACCACCTAACAGATAAGGTTAGATTCTACTTTAGCATAAATTTAAATATTTTTCTTATACCATACTACAGAACCATGAGTATCAAACCTCATCAAGGTGATCCTATTCCTCCATTTAAGTTTTAATCCCTCGAAATATTCTTCTATGTTTAAATTATTATCATTTGGTGGAGATAAGTTAACCTAATTGTCCATAGGACATATTCTCATCTGTACGTTTGCAATATATTTTTGTTTACCGCTTGATTTTATTGTTCTAGGCAAATCCACTGTAGGTAAGAATGGGTCTCCGGTGCATCTACCTGCTATCATTACGCCAATGAATGTGTGGTAGTGATCGCAGAAGTTTCTTCAAATTTGCCTCTAGTGCTTGTCTTAGACTGATCCTTGACATCGTTCCCCTTTTGGGTTTAATTTCTTAAGTTAGATACTACAAGAAGGATGATAGTACTCCCTCTTGTGGACTTAGTTTGGCTTTCTTTGATGACATGATTTACCATCTTATTTACAGCTGTCCTTGATCTTAGCATTTTCCCCTTCATTCATTATTTAATTTGATGCATCGTTGTTTTCTAAAGTCCAGTACATTAGGCAAAATGAACATGTATAATTTGATGCATCACTGAGGAAGTCTTCTATGTCTAGGAACTACTGATATCTCTTTAGCATCCAGTGTCTTCTACTGGTTACTGATAAACTGATATAGAACAGCTTCTGTTGCTCTTCCTGACCTTTTGAAAGTGATGCAAAGGTGATTAGCTTTTTCTGAGTATTCAGGCACCCACCACACTTCTCCATTTTTATTTTACCTGTTCACATAATCTTTGCTTTCTGGGTTGCTACCACACTAAAGATGAACATGCCATTGCCAATGTTCCCGTTTCCAGTGATAATTAGATAATCGCTATATCTTTTCTTAGTGCTGTATATATAACTAACCGATATCACAGTTGAATTTTTTATTTTTTTACACAACAGCAGAGGTCATATAAATGCTCAGGGTGTTGGTGTTTTTGAAAAAAAGCCCATTTGTAAGTATGTCGGGTTCGAATGCATGGCCGCTGGATTCGAACCCAGGACCTTCACCTTAACTGATGCGGCCACCGATGCCCCCAAGAATTGATGTTATGTTATTATTAATAGCTTTCATGATATCAGGTCTAAATCTGTCCTCTTGTTTTTTCATAGGGCAGCTTGTTACATAATATTGATTAATTATGGAACTTGCAAGTTCAAGTTCACTGATGCATGTGCTAGGTTATTTTAATAAATCTTAACCACTCAGCACATGAAGGCTTTCTGTATTGTATAGAGTTTTCTACATACTATCCAATGCCAAACTGTATAACCTTATGTCTTCACGGCGACTCTTTATCTGAAACTCTCCAATAGATCATGCAGTGCTTAAGACACAGCTGACTATTTGCCAAGCGCTTCTGTTTCACTTTACTAACAAAGTTGATTTCCTCGGTTGATTTCACATTTTTCTTTCACTTAGAATCTCAACTAATTCTAAGACAATTGACCACTTTTGTTATTATACCTGAGAAGAAGGGGGAAGTCAAAGTCCTGGAAAGTATGCTGATAGGTTATCATGGATACTTTATCTTTACTTAAGACATGTATGTAAATAGCTTAAGACACAGATGACTGTTATGCCAAGCACTTCCTGTTTCACTTTACTCTACTAACAAATGTGGGATTGATTTCACATTTTTCCTTCATACATGATTCTAAGATCAACTTACCTCTTTTCTTGTCACATTTGAGTACATGGAGATTACTTATCATTACGCAGTATTCGTACAAGTTTTCATAACTCATCTTGGTGAGGTTAGTCCTGATGACTCCACTATGCCGATGAGTTATGAATTCTTCATCTTTGCTTACCATTCATTGTTCTAGAGCTTTGGGACCAAAGTGACAAGATCTTTCAGAAATCCATCGAGAAGAGGATTTCTAAAATAACCATTAAAATTGGATAATATTATTATTCTTCATGTTTGTATAAACAGAAGCTACTGTAATGAAAGTAATGTACTTTTTTAAAGTTAATAAAAAATATCATTCTTAAACTGTTGTTTTTAAGAAAATATTTTACCCTTTTTCTGATCAAACTTTGTTTTTAATTGTTTAATGAGACCATTGCAGTTTACTACAAATAATAATAAATTATAATAAAATTTAAGTACAATATAAATTAAACAAGAACATAATTTTCAAATAAATGTATAAACTAAAATTGAGAAGTGAAACAATCTGTTAGGGCATAGTTCTGTAAAATTTATAAACAAATTAGAACATTTTAGTAAATGTCGTGAGTTATTTACAAAGATTCAAGCCTGATAAGGTTATACAATCAAATCTATTTATAAAGTGAAAATACCCTACTTTTGCAGGCGGAGGAGGGCCCACAGCCCTTGCATCTCCAATAAGGTAAGTAAGTAGAGTTGGCCTCACATTTGATCAAAAGTTGCGATGGCAGCTACACATTGATGCTGTCGAGGTGACGGGAAGGAAACGATAACATTATTTAAGTTCATTGGTTATTTCAGATGGGGAGTGGGCAGGGAGACGATAATGAAGATATCTAGCTCACTAAAGTGCTTGGTGTTGTTTTAAGGCCTATTCTTCAGCCAAACAATGCTCCTGGAAGCTCCATAGGCTCTACTCTACAGGCCTTCGAGCAACAATTTCCACTGCATTTAAGACAAGCCCTTTGGCCAGTCTAAGCTGCTGCCTGAACTTCGGAGAGAGCAGCTTACTCTCAGTTATGCCACCAACAATGATCCATATTTGGGTGCATCCTTAGATGCCAGTACAGCAGAATATACGAACGACTTCAGACTCAGATGTGACCACAAAGAATACATTTTGGTGAAGCTTGAAGGAAAGCAGAGGTGATACTGGGAATGCTACTTGAGCTGGAAAACCGTCCACCTCTGCCTTAGGTTCTTCCGGTGGTACTCGTCTAGACGATCTCACCTTGTGGCCAAGCCTTTCTGCCACACCTTTTCCAAACTAAGTGCTAAGAACTTTGATCAAGGTATGAATGTTTTCTGCTCATCTTCACAGACAGGTCTAAAACTGGCATTGTATATCCCCTGTTCCGATTCTTGGAGGAAACAAAGCTATTTCATTGTATATAAAAATCATAGGTTTGTGTGCATTAAGAGTGAATGTATTTATTAGTCTGAATGTGTAATGTGATATTGCCAGCGGTGGAATATTGAGTACCCCATCAACCCTCAATTAGGTTAGTATTAGATGTAAAAGGTGGTGGAGGAATATCGAGTATTCCACTGCCCTAACCGAAACAATGGTATGTAAATAAGTAAGAATGAAGTGTGTGAGTGTTAATGGATTTAAGAACTTTTTACCTTGGGGGCTAAAATAACCTGGCTGTTGATAATTCCTGGCAGCTGGATAAGACCGAGATCCAACCCCGAATTACCAACACCCAGGATGGATGACTATCGAGGCATACCAGTAATTTATTGTAAATTACAAAAACTGACACAACAAAAAAATTGCCACTGTATAGAGAAAATTGATAGGCTCAACCCTGTACACACATATGCATATGCACATGCGTGTGAAGATTCCAGCTTATATTATATAAATGAGTAACTTGTAATCTACTGTAGATATTAAACTAAAAAGGGACAGTTAAAACTCTTCAATGCAAAGTTGTAAGGAAAATAGGAGAGGAAAATTAAATATGGAAAAGGATGAGGCTTGATGGTTAGGGTTTTAAAGGTTGGAGGCACAGATGAGGAAACGACTGAACGAAATAATCCTGTATGTGTAACGAGTTTCATGGGAGTGGACAGGAATCTGAAGGTGAAGAAATTTTATATATAGGGATAGATATCATTGATAGAAGAAGAAGCCCAGGACATATTGCTGGGGAAAGAAGAGTATAAACATTTCAAGACAGTGTACAGATCAATCACAAGGACCTCCTTGGGAAGCCAAAGATAAAACAAAACAATTCATTAGATCTTTAAGCTTATTTTGAAGCTCCCTAGTGAGTCTCATGTACACAACACATTCTTAATCAAAATGCGGTGAGTAAGGAAGAAAACTAAGTTTAGCCACATTAAATGGGAGAAGGTATGATAGATCTGATGAAGGTTGGAAAAGCAGCATTACGGAAATCCAGGCGACACAGGGCTTCCAGGAAATGTTCTGATCAAGGACAATCTCATAACTGCCATCATCACAGTTATATAAATGCTTCTTCATTTTTAATTATTAAACTTTTTGTTTTCTATGCTTTGCAAGACTGGGAAAACACCATTCGACCTTAAACGATGATGGCCTCTAGACCTTGCACCTTAATCTAGCATATTGAACCAGCTTGTATGTCCTCAAGTGACTTCCAGATGCAGAGCAAAATATATTTGATATGTTCAGGCTACAGATAAATTTTATTAAAAAAAAAAAGAAAGTTTTTTATTACAGCAATAAGGTTAACTTAGGTAGATTAACAATAGGTTAATCTCTTAACCTAACCCCACATACAAGCATATATTATAACCTAGAAACTTGGTCTGTGAGAAGCCATATACTTTATGCAACCATCAACTTGTAACTTCAGGTATTTAATAGTTTATTTCAGTTAGTGCTTAGTATTTTTCTGTCATCAGAGAATATGTTAAACTTTTTTTGGTATTCTTGCAGGAGTTTACATTACAGTCAGATAATATGTATTGTAGTGACTCACCACATAATGAGCACCACTTCGGTCTTTTGGCGATAAAAAGGTGCCAGTTCTCGTCAGTTAGATGTGTTTTAGAAATCTGGCAGTGTGAATGAACACTGAACTAATATAAAGCAACTTAACTTACAGTTGATCAGGGATGTCTACATTCTTCACTCTGCATTCCTCAAAAAATATCTGACAAAATGACTTAATATTGTGAAAATTTAATCTTTTTTTTTTTCAACAAGGGTGATATTTTTTTAAATAACAACCAAAGAGAAATACTTCATTTTCATTGTGATATAATTTCAAGTAAACAGTTTATGGTACATAGTGGTAATTTCTTATTATCCTAACTAATAAAGACTATAACATAAGAGAAAAGAAAACATTCGACTTTTAATTATATAACGGATTTTCATAAAAATAAACCTTTGTGTATACAATTTAATCTAAAATTTTCCTAGACATATGCACATTGTGATGAAATTTACATGAGGTAAAATTTTTCCAGTATCACCTCTAGAACTGAAATCGATATTTAAAAAAACACAAAAGAAAAAACAATCACAGCTAGGAAATATAGAGATTCTTTCTTACATACGATAAATAAATAAATCGGCATTTTTTTTTCTCTTGTTAACAAAATAAGGCAATTTCGTCTTTCTAAATAAAAAACACTTCTTTTTCCGATTCGTCTCATAATTCACTCTTTGGTATAACTATTCAAATTTCCTATGGCCCAGTAGGGAAATCCCCTCTAGCCGTATCAATTTATACAACTTGTGAATATTTAATAAAACAAAAATGGAATGTCAATGTATGGAATTTTCTTATAAATTAACTGATCCAATATTGACATTACAATATTTTCCAAAAAATAAACATAAATATTAATCTTGGAATATTTCATAATTGAGATTATTCCATAATTTCTATTCAAAAGAAACTCATTAAAAAACAAAGATAACAAAATAAATCATCGCTGTAATATGTTTAACATATTAATTTCATTAGCTGACATTATTATTCTTGTGTAAATTCATGTTTAAAATAAATTATGGGTAGGTCATAAAATTATAAATATTTCCTTAAGTGAACTCAATGGTAAGCCTGCATATGATTATAAAAAAACTAAATAGAGAATAAATTGAATTTGTTGTATAGTTGACTGAATGATACTATAGACATAAATAATACATATGATTTGTATGTACATAGAGCTAAATTCATAAAGTAATAATGAAAATAAATGATAAAACACTTTACATTTTATAAAGAAAAAAATGAAAACAACTATATACATGTAAGTATTTACAGGTAAAAAATAAGTGCAGTAATCTCTTTAACATAAAAAAATAATATGGTTGAATATTATAATAAAATTTAAAATTAACTAACGGTTGAGATCTTTATAAATAATATTGTAACCTCTATTAATATCTAAAAAGATCAAAAAATAAAAAAGTATAATATAAATGTGACTACGCATCCCCAATGCGTCGGCCATAGTGAAAAGAAAGAAAAAAAAAGTTCTAAAAAATACAAACTGATAGACAGCAATAAAGAAAGAGACAAATATGTATAGTGCAAGATGGACAACCACTGCTGCCAGACTTTGCTCTCTAGTCATACAAGAACAGAAGGACGATCCTGCTTGTTGCTATTGTTGTTAGTGTTGCTAATATTGTTGTTATTCTGACTTGTCACTATATGCGGCGTTTCTTGGTCATGCTTGCTAGCCGCCATCTCGAATGGCTGCGGCAAGGCATACGACGGATACAGGCTCGAGTAGTTCATGTTATTCGCTGCAGTGTTGACTGTACGAAAGTCATAACCTACAAAAAATGATTATATTAGTCGCATGAATAAACTCTTTAAAAATTCATATTAACATGATCACAATTATAATTATTAAAGCTGATAAAGGTATGTCTTCAAATTATTGTACATGAAGCCTGGAATCAATAAATGATTTCATTATAAACTAGAAATTACTTCAGTCTAGAAAAAGTAGACACAAATCAGGAAAAAATACCCTAATTTAAGGTTTTAATATGTTTATGAATCCACCTTGCGTGTTTTGATTTGACATGTAAGAAACGTTAATTTTTTTCTGAATAAATGAATGAATAAGTTTTTGTTTACAAAATTGCAGGTTTATTATAATATTCTAGGGAAAATGACATAGCACCATAACATCCTAAAGTGAAACTTTCAAAATACATATTGCATAGGCGGGTGTTTGAAAATTTGTTTTTATCTTGAAAATAAAAATGAGATATACACCACATCCTAAGGAACAGGGCAGAGAGGCAATGAGGCTGACAAATTGGCCAATGGGAGTTCTATGAAAACACCTATTGTGAACCCTTCTGCGACGTACCAAATTGTCCAAAACATAAATCCATCAGACAATGAATTTAATTCATTGGGAAAGTATCCCAGGGAAAAAGTTCATCTAAGGACCAACACAGAAACTAACGACAGAAGTACAAAACCTAGGACATGTAGTACACAAGTACAAAGTAGGACTGCAGACTCCGGAGGTATGTGTTTAGATTCGAAGAAGCAGAAACAAGCCTGCGCAAATAGAAGAAACACAAAGAAGAGGAAATAGTTGAACGTGTCATCTATTGATATGCAGGCTGAGATTCCTTGGGAGAGGAAAAACCAATGCCTGAAGTCACATGAGAGTCCTTAACAAAGATTTGGTATCTGGTATAAAATCTTAAGAAAAATAAGGAGCTCTAAATAATAGTGGAGATTGCACAACAGACCAATACTGATTGTGGTAAAGATTATAAAGACATCAACTACTTTTAACCTTAACATTTAGATCTAACCTTTTCTCGGTCTGTTAGAAGTAATCAGCCTGGAACAGGACTTCTGCACAGTTAATTTTAGGTGGATAACGCTTTACTTGATCTACTTATTTTTAAGTTTGGCAGTAAGACGCAAAGATTGTTCAGAAGAAAGAAAGTGATAGATAACTCCTTACTAATTCAAAAAAACTCACAGCATGTATTTTCTCACATGCTCGCCTCCTTATACAAACCCATTAATTCCATGGAACCCAGTAAATCCGAAATTCTTGGCTGAGATGGTAAGATGGGACAATTGTTTATTTAATAAATTATCCAAGAGGAACAATAGAGAGGAATGTGGCCAGATTATAATGGCAGTTGGAAAAAATTTAGGTGCAGCAGCACGTTTAGAAAAATTCAAAACAACGTAGGATCCAGAATTGAGCCTAGAGGGACACCTTCTTTAATTTCATGAGAAGAAGAAAGAGAATTATGGAGGACAACACAAAAATATTGATAAATGATATTAACTTTTCTAATTAATGATTTTTATTTTATTTTACTAGGCCCCCAGCTATTTTATTTCTACAATGGCTTACCGTTGTGGTGCGCATGTTCTAGCTTGATGAGTTTTGTAGGGGGTTGACTGGTGTCTGTTTTGTTGCTGCCCTTCGGTTTGCGCTTCCTCGTCTGTAAAATTAGATAGCAAATAGATGATGGGCTGAGTAATTTCAGTATTAATTTGAGTGTCTATATACCTGTATGCTGTCTTTCTTCATCGTGAGTGGACGGTTGATGCCATGTAGTTTGTAGTAGAGTCCGCAGGCGTTGCAGACTGGCTCACCACTTGCATTCCTGCGCCATAAAGAAGTCATTGAAGTGCCGCAGTTGGAGCAGGCCAATCCAACTCTCCTTGAAGCGTTCTGAATCAAGAAAGGCAATAAATAAAGAGAAAGAGAGTAAAAGGGAGTAACTCAATAAGGCCACAGACTTGTTAAATTTGGAAACAAGTTAAGAAAGGAGAAAGAAATGAGTTTAAACTTAAACAATTACCATTCTCCTATTCGGTTTGTCATCAAAAGTCGATGAGACCTGTGACCGTGAGTAAAGAGCTTGGGGGGCCGAATAGAGGGAGCTCTTGAAGACCTCACCACCTGGAGAAGACGCCACTGGAACAGATTTCGTAAATTGAGCATTTTCGAGGGTACGGTCTCTCAGGCGGTGGGGTCTTTCATCGCGCATTTATGAAAAGATTATCTCAATTTTCCAAACGGAACATTAAGAGCCCCCTCAACCCGAAGCCCCCTCACTCGGCCGTCAACAGGGCCACCCTGAAGGGTGTCCCCATTCACCGGCCCTCGATCAAGTGAGTCTGGGCTCTTACCAAACGCCGCGGCTGCCTCACCAAAGGCCTGTTCATCCCGTTCATTTTGTGATAGAGACCGCAGGCGTTACAGAGGTAGTGCCCCGTCCCATCCCTCCTCCAGAGAGGGGTGCTGATGGCACCGCAGTTCACGCACTCTCTACCCTCCGAATAGCACTCTACTTCTTGTTCTGAACCACCGCCTGGAAGACCATTCTTATTTCTAGCTTTATCAAATTACATAAATCTTCATAAGGTACAATCAAAATATTCAGGAAACCTTAAATATTACTATAAGGTATACAAAAGACCCAGAAACTGAATTCTTGTAAATGTAAAGGTCCGCATCTATTCCAAGATTTATGAAGTCTTTAATCTTTGACGAACCTCATTAAACCGCCATTCATGGGGATAAAACAGACAACCACTGCAATGTATGCTCAAAAGTTAAAACATTTAAACACACCACATTCAGGGAATCTTTTATCGTTTTGAACCAAAAAGAAAATTATACAAAAGGATTTTGCCTGGATTTTCTTTTTGACCGAATTAGCCTTATGACACAAACCCCTGGGCAAATGAGCAAGGTATATGTCATGCTACTCAATTGTGAGCCTGCAAAATTACAAAAAAAAAAACATTACCAGTTTTATTCATGTGAAATGATGTAGATGAAATACTTGTGTGTGAATATGATACAATTGTCAAGAAGAAGTACAGTGAAAGAAACTGCTCATTGCTATAAAAAGTCTTTACGATGAAATAATGTTGAAGGCCGATAATACTCAACAGCAAAGCCCATTCAACGTCACAGGAATTAAATCTATAATACCAAGCAGTTTAGTATTATTGATTTTCTCGAGATTCGCTACACTTTTTTGGTGGAACTCCATCATTAAAGGTAGAACCAATAAAACTGAAAACTTTAGTTCCAACTGTTTTATTTCATTTTCACTCACTTTGAAAGCATCTTGCGAATGTATGTCACTCTGAAATTCTTCTGCGTAGGATAAATGCCGAAGATGCTTACATGTAAGTGAAAAGCTTCCCAAAACAAAATAAAAATAAATCAGATTGAACTAAAGGATTTCTTTTATAGGTTTCATTATTTTAGGGTTTTTCCGGCCAAAGATTTAATAATATTAATGAGGCGACTTACATTTGTTACAGCATATATTACACCATTAATATAAAAATATTTTTAATAACTATAAGCTGTAAGAAATGTAACACAACTCATTATTATTTTTACATCTTTGGCTGGAAAAAATTCCATAAAATAATGAAACCTGTAGGTAATTTAAATTTCAACGCCAGCAATAAAACATTAAGGATCAGTTAAGTGCTGATTAAGTAGCAGTTGAATTTTTAGCAATATACATAGTTTTATGAGCAAAACAAATGATAATTAATAATATTTAAACTGACATATCTTTCTTGTTTTGTACAAATTTGGACAGTTTTACATCCATATTTTCTTTTTAGAAGGAACATACTAATTTTTAAGCCTATGTTTTGTAATTTTTTGTGAGTCTGCGTTCTGCTAACCGGTGTGTCAGAGTGCTATTTTTTAAACTCTTAAGGTTTAGATTTCATCAAACGATTCAAATCCAGGCACTCTTAAATACAATCTAGCAATTCTGATTTCTTACCTTTTTCAAAAACTCAGTGTCTAAAAAATTGAGTTTAGGGTATTCACGCAGCCGTGGTATTGTGTTAAATGTTAACGTGTTAACTTATAAACAGTTAAGATACGAATAAAAATAAGATTTTTATATTCTGAATTTACTAGCGTGTTCAGTAACATTGTTCATAGGTTTTTCAATATATTATTTTTTCATTTTCGTAATTAATAACGATTAAATGATTTTTATTGCTGGATTATCTGGTTAAAAATGTCTTGGAGGCTACCACGTGATAAAATTGTATTTTTTTTTCTGTTTCGACCATTTTTTTAATGTTTTTTTTTCCCTAGTTTAACTAGTTCTTTGGCACAATGCTTAGCAAACGGAGAACAGTGCTCACGTTTTTTGTTACAAAAATCAACATAAAACTCCTTAGCACGATTAGCAACATTTTTTCGAGTGCTTGTATTATCTTTACCTGTGGTTCAAAATGTGTTTGTTTAAATTATTTAAAAAAAAAGTAATAATTTTATTGACATATTGTGTTTTTATTTTGTTTTAAAACACGATAAAATTCCTGCTTGTCCCAGTAGCCCTAAAATATGGGCAAGGCGGCTGATTCTACGAAGGGGTGTCAAATGTGTCCATATCTGTCAACGATATGTAAACTCCGGAGGGGTGGAAGTGGTACCCCGGGGGAGGACAAGTGGCAACCCCTTCCGACACCCTCGTTAAGCCCGGACAGATTTATTGGGAAAATTGGTAATGAGGGGCGGGGAACCAGGGGGGACAAATTGACCCCGACAGCCTCCTGCCAAAGGACGGCCTATCTTATCTGGCAACAAGATTTCCTACAAAATATTTATATGTTCTTGGTTACAAAAACTGGGACGGGGCGCGCGCCTCGAGGACGACCTTCCAGGAAGCCGATTTCTGTCAGCTTATCGTGGCAAGTAAATTTAGAAAAACATTGGGAATTACGGCCTCCGATAGTACCAGACCAATGGATCCCCTACGAAAACATTTGTCAAGCACCGCTGTTAAAATTTCAGAATGTACTAGAAATATTTATATAAATTTAAATGCCAATAAACATCTACAATGAACTAATTAAACCCAAGACTATATTATAATAATTATATTTGTTTAAAAGAAAACAAATACAGATCGAACAATCAGAAACTTAAATAAATGGTCAAATGTCGACAAGTACTCTCTAAACCTTAAATATTCTAAATTTTTTGTCCATTGTAGTAGAATTTTGTTTGGTCAAAATACACCCCCACTTAGAAAAGAAAATCGTTTTTACGTTTTTTCCGGCTTTTCGCCATTTTCAGTGCTGGTTCTGTGTGCGATAAGTCAAACGTGAAAAATGGCGAGAATTCAAAACGAATCTGACAGACCAAACTGATCGGAAACGACCAAACTTTTTCTGTCTACCCAGCACACTCCAAGTGAAGCAAATCTTACTTCTCATATCGTCATTTCAACTCGACAGTTGTCACTGAATCAAGTTACAAAAGGCAACTAACCAAGAGTATACATGGCATCTTCAAAGGAAGAAAATCTCAGGACCACTATCAATGGATGTTTGATATTGTTTGGCTTGTCTTTTGACTTCCCCATGATAGATATTAAAAGATAGCCAAATGTGATGAAGTGGCCAATCAATGTCTAGATCCAAGGGCTTTCCATTTGTTTCAAGGAGGCATTGAGAAAAATACAAATTGTGTGTTTTCGAACTAGCAAGGAGTTATCCATCACTAGTGTGTTTCTTTTGGATGTTCTATGAGCTCTGAGGTCTTTTAGGGAAAAGTTAGAAAGACGGTAAGCAGTGTCCAGCGTTTAGCTTTTAGTTAACCGTGCAGAAGTTCTATTACCGGTCCTTCCGACGGACCGAGGAAAGCTCTTCAGGCTAAGGTTAAAAGAATCAGTCTCTTTACGACATTATGCACCAGTTGGTCTGTTGTGTAATCTCCACTGTAATCTAAAGCTTATTGCCAGATCCCAAAGCTTCTTTCAGACTTGCCTTTCCTGTCCCAAGGAATCAGCCTGCGTAGATCTTCACACTGACAGAGGACATATTCTGTTTCTTCTTCTTCCTGGCTATATCCATGTATCTGCTGCTCCTGACTCTAGGCCGCCGATCATTCTAGTCCTAACACACACTAGTTTAGTGGTTATTCCGTTTTTTCCACTAGTTTCTGTGGTGGTCGTTTGATGAACTTTTTCGCATAGGACCTGGAATAGAGTCACATTTAAACCTGGACTTATTTTTAATCATTGTCTGATGGATCTACGTTTTTGTCCATTTGGAATGCCATATTTTCAAGCTCCTGATTAATACTCGGTCTTAGAGCTTTAGAGGTGGTACAAAAGAAGGATCAAGCAACAGGCTGGAAATGGCTCAAAGTGGATCGATCGATATTGTAACTTTTTTTATATTTATGTTCGGTCGAAAAACGACCGTATAAAGAAGTAAGATTGCGCTTCCCTGAGATGCACCGATGTCAGACGGGGGTAAAACGGTTTCCCGTCTTGTCGCGTTAAAAAAATTAATCGGCCGAGAAAGGGCAGATGGAAGGAAGTAGGGTTTGCCGATTCCCCACGTGTCTTGTGCACGCTTTTAACATGTACAATGTTCGGAAACGGTCCGAGTATGTAAATGGCCGCCGCCGCAGCCCTGGATGTGGGCCTATGCCCCAGCAAACACACCTGAGCTGCCACATCCGTCCGCTTATCGGCTTTTTTTGTCCTTGCCCTCGCTTTATCGCGGCCCGCCAGGTAGGCCTAGCTCTGGCCAAACAGTCGAGACTAAGCGGATAAAATTTGGTACTAAGAACTTCCTGATCCGCTGATCGTTCACAGCTAGCCGTTCGATCGTTCTATACTTGGGTGAAAGACCCACCAGAAAAGAACCACCCCCTGGTTGTCACAAAGATCAAGTTAAATATGCAAAAAAAGAGATTGTAATGGATTGCCAGTTGAATGACAAGAAGGATGGGTTGATTTAAGATATCCACATGTTTCTTGCAACATTGCCTCGTGAATCGCATTGCTTTTAGCACCTTGGCCGATCCGTGGTGGCCCAGGTCGAAAATTTGTCAAATGACCGTCGTCTCGGGGCCACGTGGTTAACGAGCCAGTGTCATTAGTGATTTGACACTTCCACCCGTCTAATGGACCGGCCGGGATCATTTGTCATAACCTAATGATGTTGTTATTATTAACAAATCGCGTTCACAAGGGGTTTTTATAGAAGTGCCGGCAGGGCAGACTGATATATCGAGAAACCAAAGAACCAGAGCGACCGGGGCGGCCTTGATTGATGAACGCAGACGAAGACATCGTCTCCTATTTTTCAATTTGCCCAAATTTCCTCAAACCCCAGGCCCTTTTAAAGGCCGGTGATAAAAAAAAGAAAAAAAAAACTTCGAAAACAAGAAATGTTCTTGTTCTTTTAACAAATACAGGAATGTCATTTGTAAGGTACTTAGTCAAACTACAAATCACACAAATTTAGCTTCAAGTTAAAAGACCTTTCAGTTACACATGAACACAGCAGAAAACGGAATATG